CGAGCATTTAATAAAATAAAAAAGTACCGAAAAACTTTGAAACCTTTAATTTATAATTTTATCATTAATATAAATGCACTCTACTTTAAAGTTTAAATGTTTATAACTTTTGATAAAAGCAATTTCCAAAGAAATGTTTCAGATTATGTTTACTTATTTTTTCTCGTAGAATTCAAATATGTAACATTTTACAGAGGATTCCATTCAAAATTTTGAAGTTATCCCGCCACCTTCAAGAACAGAGAAAAATTTTTGTTTACACAATTAGAAAAATCCCTCTAATACATGAAACTTCCTCATGAACAACTTTTTGATACAACAAATATTTTTAGAGTTATTAGCTTGTAATACTTTTTACGTAGACCACCCTGTATATATACGCAAATTCGCAGTAAGAAATATTGCTATCTTTCAACTGTTCCAAGTAACAAGGTGACGTTAAGTGACGCTTCAAGAACATCTTATTGACGTTGAAGATCTCATTAAGACCTCATTTGACGTCATCTTACTCTTGGGGTGATCCGCTCTGAGCGGCTAGTAGTTGTGTTTCGTTGCTTGCGTGAGCACATTCGCGCGCTATTTACGTGCCGGGAAGTGAATCGTGGAATCAAACAGAGTGTTGGTTTTATCTTTTATTTAGCTTAAAATTAATTATAATTATTATAAATAATAGCGTTATATTTGAATTAGATTTTTGTACATTTTAACATTTATTGGAAAAAAATGTGCGATAAACAAATTTTTCTTTAATAATTATATTGCATATACCATATAATAATTCACATATAATCGGATAGCTGATCAAATATAAATCTTTTTTACATAAGTTTACTAAATAAAAATTACTTATCAGTTTCATATTATTTATCATACGCATACTTAACATTTGTTTTTCTCATTAAATGACATATGCCATTTAAATTATTTAATTATTTTTTTATTGTTTAGAGAAATTGGAAATTATTTTTCTTTATTAACTTCAACGTAACTAGAAACTTGTGTGTACATGAATAAGTAAACCAGTATATATGACAGTGAAAAAGTAATTCTCTTATGAATTTGATTATTTAATGCAAACCGATTAAGATGAAAGTAATTAATAATTAAATAATTGAACTGTATGTACAATTCACTTTATATATCACAAATGGAATATTCGAATCGTAAATATCAAATAACAACAGAGACGATTAGTTAAGAACTTTCAAGAAGATTTTTATCCCGGAACTTATGCTTGATTGATTATACACATTAGTTACAACTGTCATAATTCAAATATAAGTACGACATAGTATAAAATTTTCTCTAAGAAAACATATTTTACATAAAACATGTTCCTCTGTGAAGTCTGTAATATGTATTCATCGATAAAAGAGTGAACACATGAGCTACGATAAAGAGTATCCCGATAGGAATATTGTGAAAACATTGCACGATAAGGTCATCATGATATAACAAAAATTTCATAATTTCACTAAAATGATTCGCTATAACGCTAACAGTTTTGTCAGAATAAAATTTCTAAATAATATTTGTAAAAAAACTAGATAAATCTAATTTGAAATTAGAAAATTAAATAAATCTAATTTGAAATTAGAAAATTAGATAAATCTAATTTGAAATTAAATCTGTTATAATTATTGTAATACTTACAAACATAAAATCACAATCTTTAATATTGATCATAATATAATACAGCAATATTTGTAGCATTCTCAGACATAATATTTATATTTTAATTATTAATTAATAATCAAAACGAATTGTAAGGGCTGTTAGCGTGGTAATTGGTGTGCAAATTAAAATAATAATTTGCGTTCCAAATTTTATCATCAATTTTAGTTGACTTTACTGCTTAAGTGTTTTTATAAACACTTAATAAGCGATTTTTGATTACATGTTCGGACTAGATGACAATTTGACTATCACACGGTTAACTCTCATATTTTAACGGATTATTTTGCGGAATTTTTACAATTCTTGTACTGAAGATGACTTGAATAAGAGTCGAAATGTTTGCGATTGCTTTCTAAATTGTATTAATTAACCAATACATATTTTATCTATACATACTAACACCCAGTGTCGGCTTTTATTGGCTTTTTTACCTTCTTTGATTTTTATTTAAGCCTAAATTCTATTGAAATTTAAAATAATAACCCTGATGTAGTTCACATTATAAAATATAGAGAAAAATACAATAGTTTCAGACTTAATTTGAAGCCATCAGTGATTAAGAGAGGGCATTTACGCAAAAATCAACTACCAGTAGTGCTGAAAACATTTTTTTTTTAAATAGTGGAAAAAATTGTTTAAATAATTTATTTTTACACCATTCAATTCAGCATTGAAAATAATGTAAAAGTACACACTTTTAAATTTTTGTTTGAAGGACTACTGGTATAGTTGATTTTTGCGTTGTTGACGGTCGCAGATTGTACAATTCCGTGTGAAAAATTATTCTAAATGATCCATAATTAAACCGCAAATTGTCTCTCAACCATAATTTTTAAAAAATTATGGCTTGTTTGATGTGGATTTGCGATAATCCCAAGCCTTTCCATCCCGCTTTGGAACCGGATGAGAGACAATTTGCGGCTTCATTTTGGATCTTTTAGAATAATTTTTCACACAGAATTGTACTATCTGTGCGACCATCAACAACTGCTTAATCACTGATGATAGCTTAAAGTTAAGCCAAAACATCTGAAACTATTGTATTATTTTTTAGATTTTATTTTATGATGTGAACCACATTAGAATTATTACTTTAATTTATGCATCAATTACTGCGCTGACTTCTGACATACTCCTCTCTTACGATTTGTTTTGATTATTTTTAATATTCTTATTTGTTTATTTTGGTTATTTGTTTAATAAGAAGTCCTTGTTAATTAACATTTAATTAAGTTAATTAAATATTTACTGATTAATTCTTCTTTAAAAATTTTATGCTAAATGAGTAATATTTTATGTTTTAATATTTCTACATTAGAATTTAGGAATAATTATGTATATATATGGTTTTATTTAATTCCTTTATGTGCGCAATTATATTTCTAAATGTTTTAAACATTACCTGCAGCTAAAATATTTTTCTTAATTGTTGAATATTTTCTTTTCAAATTTAATTGATAATTCTGCCGCTAAGATGATTTGCCATATTATTATATATTGTTTTGTCGAAATACTATTTTAAA